TTTAGGAATTTGAAATTCTATGCTGTCAATTATGAACTCTGTATAATGTGATGTAATGTGTTCTCCAAGTACTTCTTTTTATGATTTATTGTATAAATAGTTAATGACATGTGATCTGAATTACTTTATTGTAGGCTGTATCTTTTAAAAATACAACAGGGAAATAGACAATATGAGTTTGCAAATACCAAAAATAGGAGGCTTTTTGTTTTCTTAAAATGAATTTTCATCATGCTTTCTGTACTAAGAGAGCTTACATTTTCCTCCTTAATTTCATTAAGATGTTCTTTAATTTCTTTATAACAGTTCCAAATCTTCCTTCCCAAACCCTATTTTCTGTCAAGAAAATTTAATTTATTCCCACATATTCTGTAATATACTGGCCTCCTGCCCTTTTTTTGGTCACATTTATTGCCTATCTTCTTCTCTTCCTTTTTAATTTTATTCAATCTTCAAACTGAAGAATTGATGAAGATAAAAATATATGTATACCATATATAACATATATGTGGTGCTTTATATTCAGAGATACGCATACCTCTTCGTATACATCTTTACCTCTCAGTAATAATCAGAGCTTTTATTTTCAAGGGATTACTTTTCCAAAGGCTCACGCTCACTTCTCCTCCCACCTCGTCTCAAGTGAAGCCTCCTGCTGTACAAGCGGCACGTTTAGGAGCATCCACAGTGAGGAAGAGCAGGAAGAGGAGAGATTTAGGATCTCCTAGCTAGGATGACTTTGTATGCTCTTTTATATTTGTTCTGCATCATCCTGGAAGAAGTGGAAATATATTTGAAGCGATAAAATTTTAGTTTTCATACAGATTTATTTTACTTCACCTATAACCCATGCAGCTCTGAAAACTTCATCTGTTATAGATGCCAATAAGAAAAAAGTTCTTTATACTGCCAAAAAAAAATCAAAAGAAAATATTTATTGTAGATTGCACATCATTATTGTATAAGGAAATTCATTTTTAAAGGACATCAATTAGATATAGTGAGATGTAAAAAAACAAGTAGAGTATATCTGAGGTAAGATTGACAAACATGGTGAATGTATACACTTAAGAAAATACTACAGTAGATATTTTCTGACATGCATACTTCTCAGAATATTCCCAGTCACCTCAGACATGCTTACCCTACTACTTTTTCTCCATTCCAAAGCAGTACACTTTTGAGTGTTTTTTGTTATATTGTCTAGCCACTTCTATGTCTTGAATGGATTCAAAATGTTTTCCTGTCTCAGTTATTCTACCTCTGGGAACAAGACAGAAGTCACACGGTGCTAGATCCCGTGAATAAAGAGGATGAGGACACACTAATATTTTTGCAAACTTTCTCTCCACAGGATAGCACTTAGCAATGTTACCATATTTCTGATCCATCTTATGCGACACTGAGGAGAGAAGACTTTCAAAACAGTGGCAAGAATGATGGATAGTGTGTTAGAATAAGAGGAATTGTTTTCAAGGGGATTAGTAGCAATGTGTCTTTTACTGTTATAAATATTTTCATTGAAACATTCACTATATTTTGACTACTCCTCATATAGACATACTAAACTCTAGTTAGTGCACAATAATGACATTTATGTTAAAATAAAGTGTAAAACTCTGACAATGAAAGGAATTCACAAGTAGCAGTGCATTAGAAGCATACTATACTTATTAAATGGAAACAAAAGGGGTTGGAGAGATGGCTCAGTGGTCTAAAGCACCTACTTAGAACAAGCTTGGCAAAGCATCAGGGACCGCGGTTCAATCCCCTAGCACCACATGCCAGCCAGCCCCGCCCCCTGGTGGGCTGAGCTGGCCACACTCTCTCTCTCTCTCTCTCTCTCTCTCTCTCTCTCTCTCTCTCTCTCTCTGTCAAATAAATTAAAAAAATATTTAAAAAAATAAAAATAAATAAATGGCAACAAAAACTCATAATAGTTGTACAAAACAGAAATAACAAGGTCAGATACATTTGTAAGTGATATATATAAGAGAAGGGTCTATAGGGTGCTCAGGGTCTCACTACTAGATTGTATTGATCTCTTGTATACAGCCTCCCAAGAGCTGGGATTACAGGTGTGCGCCACGCTGCCCAATCTCAATTGCCATCTCAGCACGCCCTGGGGGCGGGGCTGGCACGGTGGGCCCAGGGATCGAACCCCCAGCTCTTGCGCGTCTGTTTGCAGGCGCTTTTTAAGCCACTGAGCTATTTGGCTGGAAATAGCTCAGTTAGAAATTGAGTATAGAAATTATACCAATTTTCCACAAGATTCTCTTAAAGATGAAAGCAAAAGATTCGATCCCAGACGTGCCGAGCTGGCCCTTTACGCAGGGCATGCTGAGATGGAAATCGAGACAGCATGGTGGAGCGCACCTGTAATCCCAGCCACTGATAGTGGTCTCCCTTGGAGCAAGAACGATAGGTAAGTTCAGAACATTGTCCAGATGGAAAGCCACAAGGGTAAATGCTTGAGAATCACACTACTGAGTATTTAGTATTTATGGAATAGGAGTCAAGGAAAACAGTTTGCCATAATTACAGCTGTGGGCTGTACTATTAATAGGTGATAGATGGTGTCAACTTGAGAAGTTTAGAAGTTTAAGGGGCTAAAGTCTTCACATTGTGAACATCCAGAGCTTGTAGAAGAGGAGGACCTGCAGATGGCCTGGGCAGGCAGCCCGCGTGGAGTACAAGGGAGGAAGGGAGGATTGCCTTTGCCCTGCTTTTGTCTCTTGTTGCTTTTGCTGTCTTCTGCCACCCTGAAGCGATGCCCATGTGCAATGCCACCCTGCCTTGGAGCCAGCTGATTATGGACTGAAACTGCCTCAAACCGTGAGCTACATACACCTATGCTTCCTGAATTTTGAGCATCGGGTATTTAGTCTCAGCAACCAGAGCAAAGTAACTGAGATAACTAGGACAACTGTGCTGTTTTAGTAAAAGAGGAAATGCGTGTGTGCCAATGGCTCTATGATATTATAGTATGTAGTGACAGCAAAGTCAATTTAGTTTGCACAAGTACACTCTAAAAGTTTCACACAACAAAACTGTCTAATGAAGCATTTTAGAATATTATCTTTATCAGTAATTGACACATGACTAGACACGGAAAGTTCACTTATTTTAAAAAGTCTATTATTAAATCCAAAGCAAAAATTTACTTTATAGGCTTATGAACACAGCAAATAATAGTTATATACATTTCATAAGAAGCTAGAAATTCATTAAAAAGTATAGCAAACCTAGTTTGTGAGTATACACAACAGAAATGGTATGAAATTGTGCTAACAGAGGTAAAGACACAATACGTAAAAAGGTCAATGTATTTTGTATGTGTGTGTGTGTGTGTGTGTATTTAATACAGGGTCTACAGGGTCTACAGGATCTACAGGATCTCAAAACACAGATCGGACTTGTAATGATCCTTCTGTTTTCAGGCTCCCAAGTGCTGGGATTACAGGCGCGCGCCACCGTGTCCAGTCGCAGTCGCTGGCTGTCTCAGCGCACACCCTGGCCGCTGCATTCTCCCAAGCAGACATTTTAGTCCACTAAGCTATTTGGCGAGCCCTAAAAGGTCAATGTTGTAAAATTAATTTTTTAATTTTAACCTGATGTTTGCCCCATGAAAATGATTAAATATTGAAAAAGTACTTTAAAAAGAACTTAAAATGAAATATTTTTCTCCAAGGCAAGAGAAGTTTTCATAGATCTGCAGAGTTTTGATTTTAAGGTCAAGTCTTTTATCGGTGTCATGATGTTGTTCCTGCTTACATAAGTGTGTCTGGTTAAAAAAATACAAGTTGCAATTTTTTTTTCTTTTTTCTTTTTTTTTTTTTTTTTGCGGAACCAGGGATTGAACTCAGGCCCTTGCGCTTGCCAGGGAAGCGCATATTCCACTGAGCCATCTCCCTGGCCCCAACAAATTGCATTTTTAAAATTGAAGTCCATAGTGAATTTTAAAAGGAAAATTATTACCCAGTTTAGAGACAACAATTTTATTTCTTGTGATTCAATATCCAGCAGTGATTCAGGGTCACTCATCATGAATATCAATTTTGTGTTTATAGATAAACCCAAAGAGTAAGAGGATGTAATAGATATATATCTAATTCAGAATATGAAGTTTATCTTTTAAAAAATAGTTTTCTGTTTTGATAAACTATTTGTCTGTTTTATATCCTCAGATGGCAGAAAAATAAATTATTAGAATAATATCTTGAATTAATTTGTCTATAGACAATCTAAGAGATTCATTTTGACATTTCTTTAGGATAGAGATAATTGTATTATTAATCATTGTAATGATTATGTTACTCATAAAGTGTTTTTTAATGTGGTGTTTACAACTAAGCAACAAGTGTCACTGATATTGAGTTGATTGCTATTTTTGTCATATACTTACTTCTGGGTTTTCTTGGTTTCTATTTTTCCTCCTCCTGTTTAATACACAAAGCTTTGCACTTTGTTGTATTTAGATAGCATGGGCTGGAGTTTTGCAGATAATTTCTTTATATAGATTTTTTTGCTTATTTAGAGATTTGTCATTCATTTACCTTTTGAAAGTTTTATTTATAATACAAGATTTCATTTTTTTTCAGAGAAAAGGCAAAAATAAAATTACATTTTTAAACGTCAAGTAAAAGGAATCAAGAAATTTGGAAGAGGCTCCAGTGTTTTTTTTTTCTTTTTTCCAGTGTTTTCTGAAATCAATAATTTCTGTCAGAGAGAGAGAGAGAGAGAGAGAGAGAGAGAGAGAGAGAGAGAGAGAGACTTAAACATATAGAGCCAAAACTAAGTTAGCATTAGTTTTCAATGATATAAAACAGTTTTGCATTTACAAGCAATTCCCAATTACACTGGGTTCCCTGGTTTGAGTTCCATTGTTTCTGGCAGAATATTTCTGCATCAACAAAAATATACTCTTCTATCTTTATCGCAGAGGCAGCGCCCACATGATTATGGCAGTTACTCATGACCAAATTGTTTCTGTTTTCCCCCAGGGGAAAGCACAGACACAGTCCCCGACTACCACAGATTAGGCAGCCGTAATGCAGCCGCGTCTCCCACATCTGGGGAAATCGCAGGGCCAGCGCATCTGGAGTGCGGGGAAAGCCTCGTCCTGGGAAAGCCACCTTTACAATCATGATGTCTCCTCCGCCAGGTCAGTCTCGTGACTGAATTGCTGCTGATCGGATGTGAGCCTTTCCTGGCTGACCGCCTCTATTTTTTCAGGTAATGAGTATAAGTCATCATACTATAAATTATCAATTTACAGATTATATCAGATCAACATGCAATCATATTTTGACAGAAAATTATTGCCACGTTGTTCATTTTATCAACAGGAACAACCTCAAATGGAAGACTAAGGGCAGAAAACTTAATTGTATCTTTTGTGGGGGAAATTAGGTTGTGCCATTTACTAATGCTAGCTACCAGATACATTGTACTACATCAGAAAATCAAATTATCTGGAAAAATGAAGAGCTGACTTCCATACTGGTTTATATAATATTCTTATTTTCAAGTAAATTTTCAGAGACAATCATATTTATATGTTGAACATTTCTCACACTCCATGCTCACTATTTCCACTTGGAAAAAAATCTCTTGAAATAATACGGAAATAATTCCTCACAAGGCTGTGTCCTACAAAAACTGTCGGCATAATTTGTGAAAAGTTTTCCTGTCTCTTAGCTAATGTGGAACATGTGCCATACTTTCACATTCGCTTGGGCCTAATCGCCTTACAGATACCACAGCCTAGACTCAACTGTGGAGTTAATTTTTTAATACAGTATCTATCTCTTTTCACGGAAGACAAATACTCTATGCTGGAGTACAGAAGGGAAGGTCGGGCCAGCTGGAAGGAGACCATCTTCTGTGTTTACTCTGAGATTTAAAGATAGTGATTAACTGAGAAGTATAAAAATTGCTTAATATCAGAAAAAAGGCAAAACCACTTAAAGCAATATTTATTCATAAGAAAAAAATAGTTTAAGAGTGAATAATGTGCCTGGATATTTTGGGTATAAGGAATCCTTAACCAAAGTTGGCAAAAGGCAACCAACCAACTAGGTATGGAATACTGTTCGTCTATATTAATCATCTCGCTCAGGTTTCTCCCTGACCCTTCGATGACCATCTCCGTGTTATCATGTTTATAATCTCAACTCTTAATAAATGAAGCTTGCTTGTCACTCTGGTCTCTTATTATGTATAGTTAGGCAAATATTCATAAGCAGGCCTACCACTGTATTGATTTATGTTATTTTAGAATAATCTAAAACCCAAACCCAAAACTTGTGTCTAAATAGAGAACTTTATGTATAAATGGTAAAATAGATTTCATCTGAGCCTGGTTTACGAGGGGGCTGCTTCACTCCCCCTTCACCCTGCGCTTAATTCAATCCAGGTTGAAGCATGGCTGGACATCAGCCCCAGAACACTGGAGACAGCAAAGGACCGCAGAGCCCAGCGCAGCATTCCTGCTCTCCTTGCCCTCTTTCTTGCTCTCCCCGCCCCTCTGCTTGACCTTGCCCTTCCTTTGGCTTTCCCTACTTGAACAGCAGATAGCTTCTGCTTGCAGATTGCACACCCCCAGTGGGAGAATTCCCAGGGTCTCCCCAGGACTTCCCCTGAATGTGTCCTTTCCTTGCTCTTCGGGTCATGTACAGCACTGGCAAAGTATCCATGATGTTGCTCAAAACGATGAGGTACACTGATTAGTTTAGAACCTGCCCATTTATTTTACCTCTGAGCCTCAACTGTGTCGGTTTTTCCTGTCTGCTATGAAAAACTTACATAGGCTTGGAGTGTGACATAAGTTTGCCTGGGCGATAACCAAGGTGTCACCAAAGCCTTGTTCTCTCATGGCAGACGCAGGGGAGAATCCATGTGCTTGCTTTTTATAGATTTTTAGAGCTGCATCCCTTGGCCTTTGGTCCTTTCCACAATCTTCAAAGCCAGAAGCATAACTTCTTGCTTTGGTGGTTACATTACGATCTGCTGTAAGCCTCTCTCTAACTCCCCCACATAAGGAAGCTCATTCTATCTCCAGATACCGGAGGATAATCTGCCCCTAACTTCACAGTCATATTTGAAAAGAACCACTTTTGGCACATGAACTAGCATTCTCTGGGTCCAGCAATTTGGATCTGGCTATCTCTATAGATCACTATTTAACCTATCACACTCCATCCAAGCATAACATCTGAAAGGATGGGAGAAAGAAACTGAACAAATGCTGGGAGCATAAATATCAAGTATCTACTACACATGTATCTTAGAGGGCATTTTTGTTTGCTTCTTTTCTGTAATTATATTTCCCAAACAAATATTCTTCTTGTGCTTTTAATTGTAATTTAATTTTGATGGCTAACTTATCAAGAGTTATATTGAAAATATCCATTCATAATGGGAAGATGGGCATCCAGTCGTGACTTGAACTTTGCATGACATGAAAGTATCTATTCTAAGGTGGTGTAGACACTAGAAGTCTCTTCAGATGTTAGTATTAGTGTCTTTCTGTGGCTTGAAGACAGAATTCTGCATTGTTCACTTGTCAAGAGAGTGAATCAAGCAAGATATTTAGTCACGTACAATAAAATAGCTATAAAAGATCATGTTTTCTATTCAAAATATACCTAAGGTACTATATGAATTTCAATCACAGCCTGATATTAAATACCGTATTGTGTACAGTAACTCACATTA